AAAAAAAATATTACTGCACTATTACTCCAGTTAACCACAAAGTAGTATGGAAGAGAAGCAATTAGGGAAAGCCTTTGTGTAAAAGTTATATCTTGAAAGATGAGAGAGAATTCTATAAGACATAGCCAAGGAGGGAGTGCATGCCAGGCATGAGGTTTGGCTAGTGAAAACACAAGGAGATGGGTGATGGAGTGTCATATGAGGAATAAAGAGATGGTCAATTTATCCATTGGGGCAAGGATGAAGGGTTTTCAAAGCTAAAGAGGAATTTTTTAAAAATCATTTTATCTTAGAGGCAATAGGAAGCCACTGAGGTTTATTGAGAAGTGATATGGTTTATTGAGGTATAAAGTTTTTTGAGTGATAAGGTTGGTCAGTTCTGTACTTTAGAAAAATCACTTTGGCAGCAATGTAAATTAGATGGGAGAGAGACTTGAGGCAGGGAGACCAACTAGAAACCATTGCAATAATCTAGGCGAGAGGTGAGAGGAGATAAGGGCCTAAACTAAGATGGTGGCTGCACATATAGAGAGAAAGGATCAAATGTGAGTGATGTTCTACAGTTAGAAATTACAAGATCTGGCAACCAATTAGATATGTGGGGTGAGGGAGAGTGAGGAGGAAGAATAATGCTAAGGTTATAAACCTGAGAGTTTGAAAGAATGGCGTTGTCTGTGATGGACACTTATTTAATGAGGTCACCAAGAGAGTATATGTAAAGAAAAAAGAAGAGGGCCCAGGACAGAATGTCTGAGAATGCCTACAATTCAGGGACATAAACTAGAAGATGAGCCAGCAAAAGAGACTGAGAAAATGCAGTCAGGCAGGTAAGAAAATCAGGAGAGAGGAATGTCATGAAAACCCAGAAAAGAGAGTATCCAGGAAGAGAGGGTGATCAACGGTGTCAAATGTAGCAAATAGAAGCACAAGGACTGGGAAAAGACTATCGGCAGCTAGGTGGTGTAGAGTGTAGAGCTTTGGAGTTGGAGTCAAGATGACGTGAGTTCAAATACTGCCTTAAACACTTACTGTCTGTGTGACCTTAGACAAATGACTCAACCTCAGTTTGCCTCAGTTTCCTCAACTATAAAATGGAGATAATAATAGCACTTACCTCCCAGGGTTGTTTAGAGAATCAGATAAGATAATATTGGTAGAGTGCTTAGTACAGTGCCTGGCACATAGCATGTCCTATATTAACTATTAGCTAACTACTACTAGATTTGGCAATTAATTGGCACTGTCTTTGGGGGGCCACAACGAAGCTGGCTGCCATGGCCTGGGGAAATCATGAAAAATCATGGATTAGGCCTGGAGAATTACTTCTGAGTAGCAGAATGATGCAATGTAATTGGAGTCAGGAAGATCTGGGTTTGAATCCTTCCTCTGATATTTAGTCAGTCAGTAAGCATTTATCAAGTGCCTATTATGGGCCAGGCACTGTGCTAAGCACTGGGGATACAAAAAGAGGCACAGTGGATAGAGCACCGGCCCTAAATTTAGGAGGACCTGAGTTAGCTGAGTTACAAATCAAGGCTTGTGCCTCGTCTGTAGAGAATCTTGTGTACAGACTTCTGATGTTTATACAGCCCTATTCTTGTTGTTTCTGCACATATCATTTTCATTTCAGTACTTCTAGAATCTCATTTCATTGGTGTAGGTCCTGTTTCCACCAATGCAGATCACAGTTCTGTAGCACCTTCAGGAAAAGGGCATTGTGAGCTGCTCTGCCTGAAAAATTCGCCACCTTCTAGCCAAATTTGAGATGAACCTCCTCTAATTAGACAATGAACGCTGCTCCGTAGATGATAGCCCGTCACTAGGCTGACGCTCAAAGTCTCTCTAGCTTGAAAGAGCCAACCAGAGTTTGTATTCTACAAACACAGCCCCTGAAAATTCAGAGTCACCTGAACACTACAATGAGGCATAGAGGCAAGACCCTGATCAAGGAATTCTCCAGATAACTATCTGTCCTAGAAAAGATTCTGGTATAGTCTAGACTACAATGCATGGTAGCAGCAGTAAGAAGAGAAAGAAAGGGGGCAGCTAAGTAGCACAGGGGTTAGAGCACCAGCCCTGGAGTCAAGAGGATCTGAGTTCAAATCCAGCCTCAGACACATAACACTTCCTAGCTGTGTGACCCTGGGCAAGTCACTTAATCCCATTGCCTAGTCAAAAATAAAATAGAAGAGAAAGAAAAATAGGATGTTAGAATGAAGCACCCAAAGAATGGCAATGATGGTCAAAAACAGGGGGAGAGGCATATAGGAATAAGGAACAGAACTTTTATGAGTCCAGGGAGTGAAACAAATCCAGGGATCAGGAAAGTTAAGGAAGTAAATCCACCAAAATATTCCTAGCAGCCCTTTTGGTGATAGCAAAGAACTGGAAACCAAGCAAATGAATTGGGGAATGGCTAAACAAATTGTGGTACAATATAGTAATATTACTGCACCCTAAAAAACAGTAAAAATGAAGAATTCAGAGAAGCATGAGAAGCTTTCTATAAATTGATTCAGAGTAAAGTTAAGCAAAATCAGGAAAACAATGAAAAGAAACACTGTAATTATAATGACCAGCCTTGGCCCTAGAAAAAGAGTCGAGAAAAGATCAGGATGGGAAGTACAGGTGTGGAATATCAAGTATACTCTAAGACTTTATTAGTGACTGGCTTTTCTGAATTTTCTTTCTTTCTAAATCTTTGCTGTGAGACACAGATCTCTGGGCATGGGGGAGGAGGAGAGGATATATTCAGAAATATTTAACAGTGAAGGTGATGTAAAAACAAGATACAAGTAAAAGTTGGTTGTTACTGGGTTTGGTTTTGTTGTTGTTTTTTAAAGAAGTTTAAAAGAGACAAAATATATAGGAAGTAGTGGAAATTGAAAGCTGTGGGCTAAGGGCAAATTTACCCAGATCATTTCCAAGAAGAAACTGTAGCCAAGAGAGGCTGTTGCAATCTGCAAGGTCTACAGCCAATGGCGGGGTCCTTTATGTAACCCTTGTGCCAGAGGCTCCTTCCTGACCGAAGGTCCAACAGCCACTTTGGGCGAGTCCTCCCTCCTCCTTGCTCTTTGTCCCCAAGTAGATTATCTAGCAACTTGAGCCTGATTCTCCAATCTCCACCTCAGGCCGTCAAGATTCAAAAACAAACTGTTTTAATAACAAGTTAAGGAAAAGTTTCAGAAGGATTCCTAATCAAAGGGGGCAGAAAATAAGGAGATCGCTGAGTAAGCAGTCATTAACCCAGAGGCCTGTGCAGTTTCAAACAATAAATCAAGCAACCAAACATTAATGAAGCTCCGCTTTGGGCCAGCTGCTGTGCTGGGTTCTGGGGACTCAAAGACAAGAAAGAAATAGTCCTTGCCCTCAAGGAGCTTATATTCTACCAGGAGAGATGATAAGGTATATCAGAAGCATGTACAAAATGCATTGTCCTAAAAGTCTTCATTCAGTTTTAAGCTTTCAACTACATTAAGACTTTTTTTTTTGCTAGTTAAGTGACTTGCCCAGGGTCACACAGCTAGTAAGTGTCATGTGTCTGAGGCCAGATTTGACCTCTGGTCCTCCTGACTCCAAGGCCGGAGCTCTATCCACTACTCCACCTGGCTGCCCCTCTACATGAAGACTTTTGAGAAATCATGCATATACAAAATAAACATCAGATAATTTTTCACTTTCACTATGGTCCTGTATCTGAGGACCTCCCAAGGTTGTATCTCCACATTCAGAGTCTCCTGTGCAATGTTGTCTTTTCATGAATCTTAGAATTGGAAGCCATGAATTACCTCTCATGCAGCATCTCTGAACAAGTAGTCATCCAGTCTTTTCTGGAAGGCCTCCATTGAGAAGTAATATACATATATATTTATGTATATATTTAATATATATATATAAATATATACATAAATATATATGTATATACATATGTATGTATACATGCACATTTGTACATATACAAATATACATCTAGAAAAACAGAGAGAGAAACATATGCATATGCATAGAAATGTATATAAATATGCATATATATTTCTCTGTCTCTTCAGTATGTATGTGTATACATAACAAATACACGACTATACACGTATATATACACATGTATACATATATACACACACATATATGTATATAGCTTTAAAGTTTGCAAAGAGCTTTTACCAATATTACCACATTTGAGTAGTGACAATCGATTCATCATCCCCTCTGGCAGCTGGACATGAGGGCAAAGGAGACAGCAATGGCAGCTGAGACTCAGGACTGAAGGTGGGAAGTGGTGGCAGTCTGTCCCAGCCTCCAGCCTGATGACAAAGAATGATGACAATGATGACAATGAATATTAGGAGGCATAGCCACCCCTGTTTGGGGACTGTGAGGAAGCTTCTCCAGCTCCCCTTCTCCTTCCACTTGTTTATTGGTTTACAGGCATCTGTTATGATTTGTCCCTTTGTTGTAGCCTAACTGATTCTCTTTCTCTTCATATAAAAGCATCTGTGGTTAACCCAGAAATGAGCACTCCCCCTGTGTAAATAATTGCAGTCAGGAATTGCAAGCAGAGTTGTAGCCATGGTGCTTGAAGACACAGAACACAATTGGCTAGGAAGTTCCCTTCCTTGCTCAGAGAAAAGATCAGTTTCTGATCCATTGTTAAAGGATTTTTGACTGGAGGCTGATTTTGTTTTGTTGTTGTTAATAACTCTATAAAATCCTCAAGAGATAAAGTATCCCACATGTCTCTGGGCCTATTGCCTGTGGACATAAGAAAGTCCATTGATTGTTGAATCTAGTCTCAGCTTCAGTAAAGATCTCCAGCCCTAACTCTAGCCAGAGAAAACAAAGGGAAAATGAAGAGAGTGTGGCATGTGGGTCTGAAGTAAAAATTCTCTACCCCTTCCCAAAGGGACAGGAGGAGTCAGGGGAGCAGGAAGAGGCCAAACGGAAACCAAGCACAGTGACTGGACATAGGCATGGTCTGAAAGGATTCAGCCCTCTCTCACTTCCAGAGCTGTGGGGGTAGAGACAGTCTTCCCAAGCCTAAATGTTCTCCACGGTGATACCTAGAGGAAGGAAAAAAGGAAATAAGCAATTACTGAGTGCCTATTATGAGTCAATAACTATGCTAAATGCTTTATAAATATTATCTTATTTAATATTTACAACAACTTTAAGAGTAGGTACTGTTATTATGCATGTTTTATAGTTGAGGAAACTGAGGCAGACAGTGGTTAAATGACTTGCCTAGGGTCATGCAGCTAGAAAGTATCTAAGGCTAGATTTGAACTCAGGTCTATTACGACTCTAGCCTTGGTGCTCTATCCATTATACCACCTAGCTGTCTCCTAGCAGAAGACACACTATCTCTACTTCTTTCTATCCATGTTCATATGGCATGGACTGGAGGCCCTTCACCACCCTCACTGCCCTCCTCCGAATATTTTCCAACTTATCAATGTACCTTCTAAAGTGCACAGTATGTCTTCTGATACACAGATGAGACGAATGAGGCCAGAGTACACTAGATTTACCACCTCTTTATTCCTAGAAGCTATCTTAATCTTAATACAGTCCAAGATCCCATTAGCTCTTTTTGACTGTTCTTAGGTTCAAAGATTTAGAGATGGAAAGGACCTATTTTACAGATAAGAAACTGAGACCCAGGGAGTTTATATGACTTGCCCGAGTCATACAGGTAGTAAGCACACAAAATGGAAATTTAACCTCAGTCCTTTGACTTTTGATTCATATTTATCCTGAAGTCCACTAAAATCCTCAAACATTTTTCAGAGAAACTATATTCTAACCATATCTTCCTAATCTTGTACTTATGAAATTGATCTCTTGAACCCAAGTATATGACTTTATATTTATCCCTAATAAATTTTCTCTGATGAGATTCAGCAAAACTCTAGACTCTCTCAGCACAGTTACTAAACTTCCCTCCTTTCCAGCTGTCTCTCTCTGTGCAGCTTTCCCCAGCTGCTAGCAAGTAATGGTTGAACTGTTCTCCATTATATTCTAATCCTTTGTAGCTTCTCCCAATATAATTCTCCTTAGCCTCAAGCAGAAAACACTAGACATCTTTGTCTTGCCAAAATTCATTTACACTTGAAAAGAGAAAGAAAATCCTCTCTAGATCCAGATGTCTTCATTATAAGTTGATTGCCAGTGCCACAGGCATCGCACCAAAGATATCTCCCAAGGGCTGGAGGAACCGTTTTCCTTTGCCCACATAAGCGTGACTTTCTAGCCAATTTCCTGTTGGCTCAGGGGTGTTGGTTACAGTTTCTGTCCTCTCTAACCCAGGGCTCAGGTGAAATATCTTTTGCCTGCACTGATATTTTCTGCTTGGAAGTGGTAGTGGTGGTGGGCAGTCACTGTCTTCCCAATTATCGCAATCCTTGTCTCCCTGGGAAGCAAGGTGGGGTTGTACTAATTACCTCAGGCTACTTCCCCAAACATCTCCTCCTTGTCCTGCGTTCAGATCCGTGTGGGCTACAGTGAACTGCACCTGAGGGTGCCCAGAATCTTCATTCTGGGGAAGCAAACACAGGCAGAATAATTTCTATAATGACCACAGTGATGTAAAGGAAAGCAACATTAAAAGATTTTAAAATTCTTATCAATGTAGTGTCTAATCATAACTTCAGAGGACTGATTGATAATAAAACCTAGCCTTGGCAAATAAAAAAAAAGGTGAGCTATTAGTGATGAACCGAGCATGTATTTTCATGCATGGCCCACACATTCATTTGTCTTGCTTATAAAGTTACAAGGGAAAGTTCTATTGTCAAAGGTAGAGAGACCAGGTACAGCAAATCCCCTTAATAAAATGATTTGTTCTGTAAAACTTGGATTCAGTCAAAAGGCTGCACCCAAGGATGTAGAAGTCCACATATGGCCTCGGAGCCCCACTCCTGGACTAGGAAGATGTAACTGGGAAGAAAGAAAGAAAGAGAGAGAAAGAAAGAAAGAGAGAAAGAGAGAAAGAGAGAAAGAGAGAAAGAGAGAAAGAGAGAAAGAAAGAAAGAAAGAAAGAAAGAAAAGAAAGAAAGAAGAAAGAAAGAAAGAAAGAAAGAAAGAAAGAAGGAAGGAAGGAAGGAAGGAAGGAAGGAAGGAAGGAAGGAAGGAAGGAAGGAAGGAAGGAAGGAAGGAAGGAAGGAAGGAAGGAAGGAAGGAAGGAAGGAAGGAAGCAGACCAATAAAACATTTTTTTAAATAAAGCATATTTTATTTTTAAAGTATATCTACTTTTAAAAAATAAGTCCAGTGAGGACTAAGGACTGATAAAGTATTTGATCACTTTGCTGCATAAGTATATTCCTTAGAACTAGAAAAGAACTTATAAAAAAACTGAACCAAAAAGAAAGATTTAGGAAATTGTTTTAAAAATACATTATATAAAATTTGGCTATTATAGTTTGAATTACAGAATGTTTTGCCCAGATGCTCAATCTCTCTATTCAATTCAGTTCATATGTATTAAGGAACTAGTAAACTATTGAGTACAAATAGATTTATGGTCCTGAAAATAGAATTAAGTATCCTAGGCTTGTCCCTGATGTTGGTTTTAAGTAATGAGAGGGCAACTTGTAAAGTGTTCTAGCCTATACGAGGACCAAAAATGTCACAGGATCATAGAATGTTGAACACTGGAAAGGATCTCTGCCACTTCTACCTATATGACTAGGACTCAGTTTCCTCATATGTAAAATGCAGGGGTTGGACCAGAATGCTCTAAGTCTATGATCTGTGGTCTCTAACAAGCCTAAATCTGCCCCTCTCCAACTAGTATATAGTTCTTCTAATGTTACCCTCATGGGGCCGAGCAAATCTAATTTAAGGACATTCTTGTATTATAATTGAATTCAACAGATGATTATTATGCACTTACTAAGTATAATCATTCTTCATTTACAAAGAATTGAAAAATGAGGGGATGCCCATCAGTTGGGGAATGGCTGAACAAGTTGTGGTATATTCATGCAATGGAATACTATTGTTCCATAAGAAATGATGAGCAGGTGGACTTCAAAAAAAACCTGGAAAGACTTGCATGAACTGATGCTGAGTGAAGTGAGCAGAACCAGGAAAACATTGTACACAGTAATGGAAACATTGTGCAATGACTTAGCTCTTCTCAGCAATGCAATGATCTAAGACAATTCCAAAAGACTCATGATGGAAAATACCATCTACATCCAGAGAAAGAACTTTGGAGTCCAAATGCAGATCAAAGTATACTATTTTTCCTTTTTGTCTTTTTTTTCTTTCTCATGGTTTTTTTCCTTTGGTTCTAATTCTTCTTTACAATATGACTAATGTGGAAATATGTTTGATATGATTATACATGTATGGCCTATATCAGATTGCACACTGTCTTGAGGAGGGGGGAAGGGAAGGAGGGGGAGAAAATGTAAAACTCAGAATCTTATAAAAGTGAATGTTGAAAACCAAAAGTAAGTAAATAAATTTTTTTTTTAAACAATGAAACCTGAACTGCCTTCTGCCAGGTTTATTGTGTGTATGTATGTGAGAAGAGCAATTTGAGGATTTCTTTCTTTCGTGCAGTGTAGCAAAAATGTGATGTCAGGCAGTGGCAACCATGTGTCAGGTAGAGTATTTTTATCTGAGGGGACTGAAGCTCAAAGAAGTTAAGTCATTGCCCATGGTCACACAGGGAGTAAGTTCCTGAAGTTGGATTTTGACCCAGATCTTAAAACTCCAAGCCCAGCCCTATTTCCACTAAGCCAGATAACCTCTTAACAACTGCCTTTCACATGGGAAGGCAAGCTCACTAATGTACTATTGGAAGAACTGTGAAATAACCTAACCATTCCAGAAAATAATTAGGAATTATAGTATAAAAGTGACTAAACTGTAAATTACCTTTTGACCCAGGACCACCACTGTTAGGTATATACCCCCAAGGAGATCAAAGACCAAAGGAAAGATCCCACATAAATAAAAAAATTTTAAGCATCTCTTTTCATGGTTATTAAGAACAAAGGGGGTGCCCATCAACTGAGGAGTAGTGAATATCAACTGAGGAGTAGTGAATAATTTGTGATATGTTAGATCATAGGTTCAGAGCTAGAAGGAATCTTAAAAGGCCACTTGGTCTAACTTCTTCCTTTTACAGATGAGGAAACTGAGGCACAGAGAGGTTAAGTTACTTGCCTAGGGTCACGTAGTTACTAAATGTCTAAGGTGGTGTTCAAGCTCCGGTCTTCCTAACCCCGAGTGAAGTGCTGTATCCACTATTCTACACCCCCTCTCACTCGTTTATATATGAACCACAAGCAATTTCAAATATGAAGAATTTGAGGAAACTTAGGAAAACTTGTAGGCATTTATGCAGACCAAAAAAATAATTTTTTAAAAAATTTATTTATTTTTAGTTTTCAACATTTACTTCCACAAGATTTTGAGTTCTAAATTTTCTCCCCATTTCATCCCTCCCTCCACCCCAAGACGGCATGCATTCTGTATACCCCCTTCCCCTAGTCTGCCCTCCCTTCTATCTCTCCCCATCTTCTCTTATCCCCTACCCTTTCTATTTTCCTGTAGGGCAGGATATATGTCAATACCTCATTTCCCATATTTCTTATTTCACAGTTGCATGTGAAAACAATTTTTTTAACATGTGTTTTTAAAACTTTGAGTTACAAATTTTCTCCCTTCCTCCCTCCCCACCCACCTTCATTGAAAAGGCAAGCAACTCAATACAGGTACATGATACCTGTACATGGGTAGTCATGCAAAACACATGTGAAAAGCTAAGTATATTTCCCTTCATCCTATCCCTCCCTCCATTTATTCTATTCTCTCTTTTGACCCTGTCCCTCCTCAGAAGTGTTTGCTTCTGATTACCCCCTCTCCCAATATGCCCTCCCCTCTATTACCCCCCTGCTCTCTTGTCCCCTTCCCCCCTTATTTTCCTGTAGGGTAAGATATTTCCATACCCGATTGTGTATGTTATTCCCTCCTTAAGCCAAATCCTATGAGAATAAGATTCACTCATTCCCTCTCACCTTCCCCTACTTTCCCCTCCACTGTAAAAGCCCAAAAGAACAATTTTTACAATGATCACGATAACATCAAGGACAAAAACATTTGAATGTAGCAACCAAACATGGCTTCAGAGACCCGACAGTGAAGCCTTCCTCCTTCTTTTCCATAGGCAGGTGGTGGACTACAGGTGTAGAATGAGGAATACATTGTCAGACACAGCCAATGGACGTGTTGTATTGATTTGCTTCCATTTCCTGTCTTTACTCTTGCTTCTAAACCCTCTGCAGTCTGGCTTCTGACCTCATCATTCAACAGAAACTGTTTTCTCCAAAGTTATCATTAATTCCCAAACCCAATGGCCTTTCCCTAGTCTTCATCCTTCTCGCAGCATCTGATGCTGTAAATCACCCTCTTCTCCTTGATCCTCTCCTCTCTCTAGGTTTACATGACTCTGTTCTCTCGTGACTCTCCTTCTACCTGTCTGTTCACCCCTCCTCTGTCTCCTTTGCTGGATCTTCATCCAGGTCATACCCACTTAACTGAGGGTGTCCTTCAAGGCTCTCTTCTTTTTTATCTCTATTACTGTCTTGCTCAGTGATCCCATCCTCTCCCATGGGTTGAATTATGAGTTAGTTCTATGTAGACAGTTCTAAATCTACATATCCAATCCTGACCCCTTCTGAGCTTCATTTCCACAACTGCCTTTTGGGTATCTCAAATTGGATGTCCTGTAAAGCATCTCAAACTCAATATGTCCAAAACTGAACTCATTTTTTCCCCCAAAACTCTCCCTTCTTCCCATCTTTCTTATTACTATCAAAGGTACCACCTCTCCCTGTCACCTAGACTTACTCTCACAACCTAGATGTCCCTCCACTCTTTACTTGCACTCTCCCTTCCAACATCCCAATATATCCAACCGACTGTCATTTGATCCTCACAACCTTGGGAGGTACGTGCTATTATTATCCCCATTTTACAGATGGGAAAACTGGAGGGAGAGATACAAATGGTAAAAAGCAACAACAACTCTAATGAGGGCCCTAGAACCAGAAGACCTGGGTTTGTGTTCCAGTGCTAAACAGGTTTGTAACACGTGGGCAAGTCTCTGCCTCTGTGAGCATCAGTTTCCTCATCTGTAAAATGGACTGTTAATATCCTACTCACTTGCACACAGGAGGGCTGTTGAGAGGAGAACATTCTGTAAATGTCAGCATGCTATAGAAACTTAAGTTATTATTTCCCAGACTAGAATTATAGTCATCTTTGACAACATGGAGTCTGTAATTTTCTAGGTTTGATTGTTATCATTCCTAGAGTCTGTGGTCACCTGTCCTTGTTCATCTTCTGTAGCTTATCATCGCTATCATTCTGAGAAAACAACATGGAAGTAGGATACAGAAGTGACAAGGATCTGGGCACAGCCTCAGGTAGGTTAGTCAGACAGCCCAATGGTCACATCAGGGGCTCCAAACAGGCAGCTTCCCCAGTGTCTTCCTAGGGCCTTCTGCCCCATGGCTAA